AGAAGAAGCAACACCCCCATTGCAGGCGACCAAAGCTTGCATCAGCAAGCTGGAGCAGGAGGAGGCCTCTTCTTTCATTCGGGCCGAGTGGCAGACTGAATCATGACCAACGGCAGTCCCAGCCACAAACTTGGGTGATTCGGAAAGCCCTTTCCAAAAATTGGTCCACCGTAAAAGGGCGCTCCAAATTAAATGCAAGCCCCCACAATGAGGGCAGCACAGCGTACGACATTAGCTCCTCCCAGGAGCAAATATCGCACCTGCGACAAAAAGTACAGATGGCAAAAGAATTAACATGAGTCTGAAACTCAACATTGGACCTCCAGCAATCACATAACTTTTCACAAAACACTCGGGGTTACTTACAGCAGCTAAGGGCCAACAGTATTGCACAAAAAAGAAATACCAAAAAGGATAAAAATAACTCAATACCTCTCTAAGAATCTCGGATGGGAAGCCAGTAGCTTCAAATGAAGTGAAGGGTGGAGGCACATTATCACCCTAACAAATGAGGCAAATCAAAATAAAACAAAACATCATTCAGACATACAAGATAACCGTAAACAAAATCACAGCAGCTCTAAACAAACCAACTATCTTACGGAATCACAAATTCGTACCATATATATATATATATATATATATAGAGAGAGAGAGAGAGAGAGAGACAAGTTGATAATAATAACAATTATAATATAGGAGTGCATGCATGTCAGCCTATAGATTTGTGTTTAGGAGGGGGAGAGAGAGAGAGAGAGAGAGAGAGAGAGAGAGAGAGAAGAGACAACATAACTCCATTGAAGAATCCTAATACGACATGAGAAGCCTCTATCATAGTGAAACACATGCAAGAAAAGTGTGCATTTTGCACCAAAATTCTTTATTTGAAGAATCAAACTAAACCAACAATTACTAATGGATAAAAGATAGAAGAAAAAATATCGCACCAAATAACAGAGTACTGCATAAAGCATCACAACCAAAGACCAATTTAAGTGTTATGATACCAAGCATATATAAGAAATTCATCTATACTCACAATAACAGATATTTCATGTCGACGACTATAAGCCTCAGCAGACAAACCAATTCCAGTGTCTGATGATACGTTTCCTCTCAGAGAAGATCCTCCAAGTGCACTAAGTGTCCCATTCGTGGTATTATGAGAAGAAACTGTTGCACTTCTTGCACTCTAATTCATAAATAAGAACACCATATCAGTTCCCATATGAAAGCACTTACCAAGCAGGTTGCATGGAGCTGCAACAGTATTAAGAAGTCACCCAACAGCTCCTCTAAACACAACCCTAAACCAGTCCAAAACTTTCACGGAAAATATTTTGGTTCGCAACATGAAAACACAACAAAACATTCTACTAGCAATATGGGAAAACATATAAAGTTAAAGGTAACAACACAAATAACTGAATATACGTCAAATCTGTATAGAAAATCTATCACCAGTACTAACAATATGGACATCTACCTGCTGATTTCTTGGTCCAGCGTCAAATTTTGACCCACCATTGCTGCCTCTGCCATACCTATCATCTCCCTCATCAGGACGACGTCCTTGTGAAGATTGTTGAACATGAACTGAAGAACTTATAGATTGTGCCGAAGACGGCTTTAATGGAGGAGCTGAGCCCGTAGGCCTGTCATATTGGGTAACATTAGTCTCGGGGTTCCAAAAGTAAAGATACCCAGTTTTACCATCAACCAATCCTCTCCATGGTTTGGGAAGAGTGGGGTCCTCCGGAGCATATCGAGGACCACTAGAGGCAGTTGCAGTGGCAGCCATGGCAATGGAACACTATCCTATAACATTACAAGGAAAAACGGAAAATACAAATGTTAGCAACAAATACAAACACAAAGCAAACAAATTAAGAAGAACAATATCTCCAATAATAAATCAATATATCGGACAAGTGACATGCATTATGTGAAATTACAACTAGAGGACATAATTAAACCCCAACATTTTGAGAAATAAATACAAGACATCGGAAACCCAAAGTTATGAAGAACTTCATAATTATAAAGGCAGAAAATCCGTTCCCAATAGCAAAATGGAAAGGAAAAAAATTACATTTATGGAGTTGACCCCAACCCCGTTACGAGAAAATTAGAGCACATGAAATAAAACGAAACAAAAGCCAACAAAATTCTAAGTCTCCTAAAGGAACCCAAATAATCAAAGATGCAATTAAGGTCTAAACCTAGCGTTATCGGAGAAGCCCTAAGATAATCGGATATGCATAAAACCCTAGAACCAACTCAGACGAATCATGCATGCGACCTAAAAAGAATACAATGAGCACACAGAGATCTAAGAGATCTATAAAGAGGGAGTTAGGGAGACGCATAAAATCGGACCTGACGGCGTCGTTTCGGAAAGTAAGGGAGTGAGAAAAGCTGCGATGGGATCTGATGGCGTAACCCCCTGGCTCTGTGAAAGTGGAAAACTACGCTTCCGAAGGGTGAGAAGCGTAGAGAAAAGTGGGAAGCCAAGGAGACGAGCCAATAGGTTATTTATAGAAATATCGGGCAGAAAATTGGGTGTGTTATTTTGACCACGGTTAAATCTTTTTTTTTTTTTTATTTTTTTTTATGGGCCTTTTATTTATTTACAGCGCCCGAAGAAAATATCAGGCTCGTTCGTTCGTTGGCACTTGGAACCTTCGGTGGGTGGGTGGGCGTTCATCATATAATAATGCATCTCATTTGATAATAAAAAAAGTTATGTTAACATCTTATGACTGAGGTACTTAAAATCATGTTGCTAACTTTGAATGTTGCAGGGTTGCGATGCATCAATTCTGTTGGACAGCAGCAAGAACATAATTATCACTGAGGAGAGGTCTGTCCCGAACCAGAATTCAGCTCGAGGGTTCGAAGTAATCGATGAAATCAAGTCTGCATTAGAGAAAGAGTGCCCCAACACTGTGTCCTGTGCTGACATTATGGCTCTTGCTTGCTGCTAGAGACTCAACTGTGCTTCTAGGTGTTACATTTTTAGCTCTGTAAGTTGCATGGTGTAAGAACCCAAACCTAAATTCACATAGGCTGACTATAAATTGTTGCTGCATATTGCAGTCTGGAGGGCCAAACTGGGAGGTTCCACTAGGAAGAAGAGATTCAAAAGGAGCAAGTTTAAGTGGCTCCAACAACAACATCCCTGCTCCAAACAACACCTTCCAAACTATCCTCACCAAGTTCAAGAGGCAAAAGCTCAACATTGTTGATCTTGTGGCACTATCTGGTAACATTGCCAGAAAAAACACAACATAGTTCTGCACTATTTACTAAAAATAAAAATGACCCAAAAAGCTAACATGCCCTGAGCTTTGTGTTTCTCAATCAGTTTTTTTTATTTATTTCCATTGATATGCAGGAAGCCACACCATTGGAAATGCCAGATGCACCTCATTCAGGCAGAGGCTTTACAACCAGTCAGGCAATGGCTGAGCTGACTTCACCCTTGACCAGAAATATGCCGCACAGTTGAGGACCAGGTGCCCAAGACCTGGTGGAGACCAAACAAAGTTTGACAACAGCTACTTCAAGAACTAGTTGGCTTCCAAGGGCCTCCTGAACTCAGATGAAATTCTTATCACGAAGAGTCAAGTGACAAAGCAATTGGTTCAACAGTACGCTGAGAACACTGAGCTTTTCTTTGAGTAGTTTGCCAAGTCCATGGTTAAGATGGGAAATATTTCCCCACTTACAGGGTCAAGGGGAGAGATCAGAAAGAGATGCAGGAAGATCAACTCAATCAATCAGAATGCATGATTTCAGGGCCATAAAAGTTCATATGTAGTGTGTGTTTTTCTGCTTTTCCAAGTTATTTTTTCTCTCTTTCCCAAAATAAATTCTGATTGTAAAGCTTGATGTGGCCATTATATTGTAGAGATCCAATGATGCAATATTAGTGCTTGTTGTGTTTTCATGGAACTTGTGCTATTTTTCATCTTCAGTAATCTTTAAAAGCTTTGATTTTAGTTCACATCAACAATCTACACCTTCGTTTATTATTTATTTTTTGTAACGCAATGCAATAATGAGAGAAACCACAAAGCTTGCTATTCACAAAGCCAAAGTTACTTTTAGTATTATCTCAAACACCTGAATTACTAAGAGAATCTCCAAAGTAGATGTAAAATTGTCACGTTATTTTGACTTATCTTAATGTTGTTTTCGAAACAACAACGAATTATGGACTCAAATTAGAGCTCGGAACCTAGACTTACAAAAGTTAAATTTTACTATTTCTGAACTTATTAGGCATGTCAAACTGCTCCTCTATCGTACGTCTCTTATCATCTTTCTACGTACGTCATTTTATTGTACCTAATGAGGCTTTGGAGTTGGGACTAAGAATTGAGAGACATGAGGCCTACCCTTGATCATGATAATGCAGTCTGTCAAAAGATAGGAGAGAAGAGAAGTTGCTTTTTGCACAGATTCCTCAAGGCGTCCATTGGACAAACTTTCAAGGTTTTTATCTGTCATCAACATTCCATCAGTGATCCTATAATCATAAAAAAATTTCACGTTCCCATCCGAAGAATTAAAATAATAATGGAGAAAAAAGTGAAGTTCTCGGAAGCATGACCCTAAATTTTTAAGATTTGAAAACAATTTTCAAGTTGCATACCAAACAAGTTTTTTAATCTTAAAAATAGATTTAAAAACTCCTTGTTTTTAAGAAAAATCAAAGTTTTTGAGTTCCCTATTTGAATAGGATACCAAACGCCCCCCTTAGTTTTCCAAATTTTATTAAAAACCATGTAATCTAATATGTGAACATGCTATAATCTTAAAAATTAGGTATGGGTATTCTGATTAACTTGTTGGGTGTATTGTAAATAGAATTTCCCAAAAACCTTTGGGCCAAGCCCGGTTCAAGGCCCAATAAATGGATTTGGGCCCATCATCAATTTTTGTCTGAAGTTCACAGACCTTGGTGGAGGGCAACTCAAGCCTTCGTCCCCGTATAGAGTTTATGCCTGCAGGCGGTCACTCAAACTCGCGCCATACCAGTCACTCTCTTCTAAGCTTCAGAAGCCATGAAAGCACCAAGCTTATGCTAATCTAATCAGGACCACAATGCTCAGATAACTTCCCCAATTGCCTGAAATCACACCCCCAACCCCAGAAAAATGAGATATTTACGGTTCATTTCCCCACATTTTTCGCGTATTCCCAAAACCCTAAACCCCCAAAGCCCTCCTCTATCCTCTCTCCAATCAAAGCCCCAGATTAGCTCTCATTTCGTGTGCAATTACACTACCGCTGCACCCGAGCAACGGCCACCTCCGTCCGAGACGGTATCGGCGATCGCGGATGAGATATCGGGCCTGACTTTGCTCGAAGTCTCGAACCTCACGGAGGTTTTGAGGGAGAAATTGGGCATAAAGGAGATGCCGGTGATGGCGATGATGATGCCGGGGATGGGATTTGGCGGCTTGAAAGGGGCCGGCAAAGGTGGTCCGGCGGCGGCTAAAGGCGAGGAGAAGGTGGAGAAGACGGCTTTTGATGTAAAGCTCGATTCTTTTGATGCTGCAGTAAAGATCAAAGTGATTAAGGAGGTGAGGACGTTTACGAGTTTGGGGCTGAAGGAGGCCAAGGACCTGGTGGAGAAGGCGCCTACGCTGTTGAAGAAGGGGGTTACGAAGGAGGAGGCGGATTCGATTGTTGCGAAGATGAAGGAAGTTGGTGCCAAAGTTACTATGGAGTGAGGTAATTTGGGCAATTTTTTGCTTATACGTTTTGTGAATTTGAATTTTGATTGTGTGGTGTGGGTTGTAGTGTGTGTAGCTTAGTGAATGAGTCTGGCAACAGGAGCTAGCTCTAATTGTTTTTTGGGGTTTGTTAACTCAGAAAATTTTCTAGTAATCTGGTTTATAAATCCCTGTTTTGGTCAATATGATTAACAAAGATGTTGGGAATGGGGCACAAAGCACATTAATGAAAACTCCGAGCTAGTCTTAGGCATTTTGTTATTCATACGTTAAGGTCACTGAAACTTCCGAGCTCCTATATAGGCACTATGAGTTTAGAGTCATGTCCTGTTGCCCTGCATGCCCAAGAAGCCATTGCAGCACAACAAGGCATGCCTATACTACTACAGGAACTAGGACTAGGTTGGTTCTGTGGAAACTATGTACCTCCTCATCACTTCATTCCATTTCAAGAACCTTGTTCTCCACATGTCCTGCAAGCCCAAGAAGCCATTGTGCTATGTTCATACTATGGAATTCACAACTCTGTCCCTCATCGTCATCTCCTACCATTCCCAAGCTTCCAACCCTCAATTCAATTTCAAGAACCTGCAGCCTCATATGCCCTGCAAGCCCAAGAAGCCATTTATGCAGCACAAGGCATGCCTCAACTACCACAACAACTAGAACTAGGATCTTGCCATGGAATTGGAACCTATGTGCCTCGTGATTTCCCACCAATCCCGAGCCTCCAACGCTCAATTCAATTTCAAGAACATGCAGCTCCATGAGCCCAACAATCCCAACAAGCCGTTGCAACACAAGAACAGCCAAAACTAGAATTAGGTTCATGCCATGGATTTTGCAAGTATGTCCCTCCTGATCTCCCACCAGTCCCAAGCATCCAACACTTGATTCAAATACGCAGCAAGCCTTTTGAGAGACACTTGACAAAATCTGATGCGATGTTCTCATTAGAGGTGAAGAATGTGACGCAGAAGAACACGTCTTCCCATTGATGAATGGTAATGAAGATTCTACACGAGGCATTTGGGTCACAACGTATGACATTGCTGGCAATGAGCACAGTATGCTGTTCAAGACCACAAAAATTCGCAAAAATCATAAGCTTTATTGGCGATATTTTGTTCGACATCATGGCCTAAAGTTCAAAGATGTTGTTACCCTGTGGGCGTTCGGGAATGCCCAAACTGAAAAGCCTTGTTTTGTGATCACTTCGAGAAGGTTGCCAGATTGCAGACATTGTTCAAGAACAGGACAAAGTTGAGCTCGCTACAGCATGAAAAGGTCTGCAAAGTCGATGACATTTCTCTAGGTTGGATCAGGTTATAATTTGCGGTGTAGACATGGATCAAGGTCAAGTTGTAAAAATGTTCTTGGCAGCATATCTTTGGTTTGGAGAAACATGCAAAGTAGATATCATAAACTTCAACTCTGTGAACCTATTATCAAAATGCTAGGTCTACAACCGTTGGTTTGTAAAATTAATGAAGTAACTGAAAGGATTGATTGTTAAAAAAATGAAACAAAGCTTCCGCAAATACATTGTTCTAACTCAAAGAAAGATAAGCAAAGCAGTTCTACTAAAGATTGCTTTGCATCATGAAGATCTCCAGTAGTCTTCAATGAGACCATGTCAATCTTGCCACCTGAACGTTGAACTTCTACATCCTTCTCTCCCCCTGGAAAGTCACCAAAAAATATAAACCATCAGATATTCAAGTTGCATAACTGCATTGAACAAGAAAGAAAATGTGGTAACGGTGCAATGCTAACGAGTGCCATCAAAGGTGATTGCCAGAAAACATTGACAATGATAAGGCTACTTAGGTGATACTCAAGGTTAACCGCAAAACTGATGCATATACAACCACGCACGCATTGATGTGTGCTGCAGCGGGACAATCAATATCATTCTACACTAAAATAGAATTATAAATAGTATAGCTTACCAATTGAATCGGGGCAATATAAAAAATTCGCAGCACCAGCTTACCAATTGAGCGAGCTTAAATTCGGTCGACGATCCTTCTTGGTCAATTACGCAATTCCTTTTTCTTAAATTTTGGTAAATAAAGGGGACGGGTTTGGGGATAGCAACGTGTCGACATTCTGGTGACCCTTATGCGTATATAAGTAAACGCCACACTCAGAACCAGAAAAAAAAAAAGTACACGCCAGTTCTGATAATCAGTCAATCATGGACTCACCAAAATTCGCGCCTTGCTCATGTTCGCCATCGCCCTCCCTTTTCTCATATTCTACACCCCGCCCATGCCGCTGACATTGACAGCCCCATCGTCCAGACCTCGGCCGGCCTAGCACTAAAATGCTGAAGAAGCGCCGAAAAACAAACCATCTTCCGAAAAGATGATGAAGATTCGGAAGAGGAAAGAGGAGCAACCTTACCAAGAGCAGAGGAAGAGGAAGAGGAAGAAGACGACCACGGGTTGTTAACTTACCCTCAAATCTTCATCTACCCTCCCATCCCCTTCCACCAAACCCACCAAACGCAAAGAATCAATTTTCCAACTGCTTCTTCTCAAAACCCACCCGGCTATTGGTATGCCATTGTGCTGCCTCTGCCTCTTGTGATGTTACTCCTTGCAACCTCATCTGTATTGACTTTACTGGTCGTCAATACGATGAGGCTGTCAATGTCAGCGGCATGGGCGATGGTTTGTTTTTCGGCGCTTCTTCGGCATTTTAGTGCTAGGCCGGCGATGGGGCTCTCAATACCCATCTGTATTGACTTTACTGGTCTGCGTTCTCAATATTCTCGTTCTAATGGTCTCCTTATGGGGTTCTTACTTACTCGACATTCATAGGTATGTAGCAAATCTTGTACTGTTTTTATTTTTATTTTTAAAGAATTAATTATTAATTTAATCTACGTTTCTTGTTCTAGGCCGCGGATGATGAGGGTGTTTGTTGAAGTTGCAGCAGAAGCGAACCTTTTTCAATTAAAACCATGTGTATTAGTTGTTAGTTCATCAAAGCCACTGTACTTTGCTTTCACCGATCATTAATACACAACCAGAATTTTCTTTCTTACATTCTGTCTTCGTTCCCATTTCCCATGCAGTTTTTTTTTCTTTGAAAATTTCAATTTGGGCGCTGTAATTTTTGCCAGATCTTGTTCTAGTTGAATTTCTAGCATGATGAAACATCTTATCATGGTTTGGAATTTGGGCCTCTCTGATGCTTCCCGGAGTGAACTTATTTATTTCAAACTTGTATGTAAAATTCCAGCCCTTATATCTGGAGAGTTAAGCTGATTAAAATCTAATGGCTCTCTACAAATATCCCAAGTCTGGTTGCAACCTGGGCAGGTTGGTTGGCTGGACATTAGGATACATGTAGTGGACTGTGGATTACCTTAGAAAGCAGTCTGTACGGGCTTAGAAAAGGAGTACTAAGTTGAAGTGGAAATGATAGTATGATTCAGATAATTTGATCCTTGAATTTAATACTGAATCCTTGACTTAGGAGAAATATCCAAGATGCTTGCTTCTTATTCTGTTGCCTTGCTGTTTCCCCTTTTTTATTGTTGATTTGTTATTTTCTATCTTGCATTGCTTCTTCTCAACATTTAGGGAGTGTTGCTTCCAAAGGGGTTCACTGAATTAAAAGTCTGAGAGAAATATATGCATCAGTATGGCCGCATCAATTCAGGATGTTTGTAGAAAAAATCCTGATAGAAGTGTGGACCTCATCTTGTCTGTTTCGGTATGGTTTCTCTGGAAGGTTTTTTTTCTTTCTTTGTTTTCTCTATACATTCAGTTTTAAGGTGTCTTCTTTTTGCTTTGAATCAACAGTCTTGCATTGAGAACAAAGATCCTGTAATTCAAGCTCTTGGTTTTCAAAGTCTTTGTGAAGCTGACTTAATTGGTAATCCTGTTGTCTATTAACTTATTTGGGATCCTTATGGTGGAAGACTGGGTCAGATATCATAACCTGTAATTCCATTTAACTGAGCATGATCTTTTTGGCTATAATCAATTTGGCTTTGTTTTTTGCAATTAATGAGTGGAAACTATTTTTTGCTGGAAAAGTAAGAAAATGGTAGGAGGGGGTGTAAGGAAAGGAGGAGATGACCAATTTTCCCTTTTTAAGATTTGCACCAACTAAACGCACGATTGGGTTTAAGGGTCATAATTTAAAGTTCAGAGGCTAGTATGAGATATGACCTAAAGTTTAGGGCCTCTAGTGAAATTTACCCATTTAAAACTATTTTTTCTTTTTCAAATGAGTTACTGTACAGTGTAGTGAGAGTAAATTCTATTCACATCTCCTCTTCAGATTTTTATACAGCCTGGGATGTCATTGCCAAGCATGTTCTGGATTATCGTGAAGACACAGTTCTTGCTCATAGGTAGGCCTGCCTAAGTATGAAGTGCTAGTTTACATTGTGTGGGCCTGCTTGACTATAGCATAAAGCATCTTGTCTGTTTCGGTATGGTATCTCTATTTCTGAATGTATATAGGGGTTTTATAATGGCGACCTGGCGAAATGTGAGGACGGTTATGATAAATTGGGATGAACAGCTCAGGTTGTTTTATGCTGGAAAACTTCCACCCCCTAGAACCCTTATTTCTTTCTCCTGGAAGTTTTCATATATATATATATATATTTTAAATATTTGGCAATCACTGTCATTCCACTTCTCTCATAATTCTTTTTTTATCTTCTTTAAATTCAGGTAAACATCATATGTGGAAGTTGTTTAAATGGCCAATGCACAGGTTTGTGTACCTTTCACTTCTAGGTTATATGTGCAGTCACCATTTATAATAGGAATTGATATGCCCCCTTTTGAACTCTGTCTTTGGTTGAATGGACAGCAGATAATATAAGAAAATTCTATGGAGACCATTAACAAATTGGAACCATTGCGATTAAAGTGGCCACTTGTTAGTAAGGTGGTGAGAATAATAAGTTTAGGTGGATAGGGAGAAGGCGATGAGTTTCAGGAATAAGATTTAAGATATGACTAGGTCACTAGAAGAATTTTTGCAAACTGTTTCATCAAGAAATAGAGCACTAGAGAGGGAGAGGAAGAGAGAAAGCGGAAAGAGGGAACTACAAGTAACTCTGATATTTCATACCTAATTAAAACACTGATAGAAGGTCTCATTGCTTCATCCTGTTTTCTATCAAAAACTACTTACAATTTTTTTCCTCCTCAAGTTACATCTCTACCATTAATATTGTACTGCCTCTGACTCTGTCATTTTCAGTAATCTAAGACTGATTCTTACTATTGTTTGTTTTCAGGTGGACTTGGATGCATCTGCAATGTCACTTATGAGTCGAGTTGCAGGTCTTTTGAATAGTACCTTGATTTCCACTTTATGTTGCATTATAATGAAATGTGGTGTTAAATCTCTGTTAATTGAGTCAATCATTGCATGCTGGTGTTGGGATAACAGAAATGTTTCAATATAGGAGCCTTCATTTATTATGAGACACTCATGTTTCCCTGATTCTGTTGCAATTCCTAAATGTTTCAGAGTTTTTCTCGAACTAGCTATTCCATGCGAGAAACCAGGTCCACGAGTATTTAAGGGCTTCACTGTAGGTTTCCATCCACGGTCATGGGAACTTGTAAGAATGTTTTATTCTCCCTGATGTACATTAATTTTCCCAGGCAAAAGTAAATTATTTTCTGAAGGAACCATTTTATGAACTTGCAGGTTTATGATGGCATGACTCAATTGGGCTATGAAAAGTCTCACCATGAGTTTAGGCATAGGAATTATTATGAGTTGTTTTGCTTCATTTAACATCCCTTCCCCCTAACCCAAAAAAGAAAATGTAGTATCCATCAATCTAAATAAAGTTTGCATTTTGCAGCTTTGGGACTGAGCAGACACATGTAACGCTTTATATGACTGCAATTGCTTCCCTTTCCACTTTGGTGCAAAGACCTATTATTAAGGTACTCGAATTCCTTATACTTTGATGCATGGGAAACCATTTATCATTGAATAAGTTGGTCCAAGTATGTATCCTTTGTTTAATAAAATATATGCAAATCTTACCAGAAAATGGTCTGGAGGTTAAGGTATCAGGATCGGGAGCAACTGGGAGCCCACCTACAACTTTGTCACCCACAATGTTAAATGTTGATTGGAGATGTAAGGGTATCCTTTGCTGCAGTGGGCTTTGATATCCCTTACAATAAAGTCTCTTAGTTTCTTTTTGTAATTTTCAGATGAAACGGCTCGTGATACTCCATATGAAGTTAATATCACTATCCCAGTAGAGGGTTACGAGCCCATCCAGTTTTTTCTTGCCAAACTGTGTGGTAGGCTCATACTGCCGTCACTGTTAACTACTGCCTTCCCTCTCAATCCTTACTCTTCTGAAAATCCCTGTTTCATATTATGGAGAGACATAACCAATCTTAATAGAACAAGTTCTGAAGATGCAATGTAGTATTCATGTTAAAGCTATCCTTCTTGCACTAGAACTTGCTGGTGAAACATGATTGGACTGTGTTCACTGTCTACCAATTAGGAATGAGTCCCTCAATAATGTCATCACTCTCAGAAATTATTACATTCAAGTTAAATGGCCAATAAGGGAAAGTGGAGACAAGGGGTAAATTTGTTGGAATTGAAAACACTAATGGTTTGAAATAATATCAACTGAAAGAGCTTGGTTCGTTCAATTTTTCAGAAAACAGGCAGAACCAAAATGGAGACAGTGCACGAGGATGGGCTATATTTGGGGTGTTATCCTGCATGTAAGGCAGTTCCTACTGAAAATTATAGTATTGATAAATTGTAGGAATTATGTATTATGTATTTTATCTGAAGTTTGATTTTTCAATGAACTGTCTTGGATCAGATTCACTGTCTCATCGACCCTGTTTTGCTATGGAGGATTTATTTACAAGACTCAAGTTGAAAGGAAGGTAGGCCCTTTTCTATGGCTTCAAAGTCTTGGATGGTTTACGAATTTGCAGCTTTTCATCATGGTCTCAATTTGTATGTCCTCAATTATATATTCTATTTGATCACATGCAGCGTGGGATTGATGCATTGCCGGGAATGACAATTCTATCCGCTTGTTTAGAAACTGTAAGTATACATCACTAACACAAATATTCCTTCTATTCCTTTGGCCCATTTTCCATGAGGCTCAAATTCTTTGGAACAAATAAACCCTGGAAGATGCTTTAGTTTTAAATTGAAAAGAAACCTTGCAAAGCAAGGGAACTGAGTTATGAAGCAAATGGGAATACTATTTGCCACGTCCTCTGTAGACTTTCTAATGGTGTTGAATGTGGGGGGTACAAAAATAGGTGAGTGACGGAGGGCACAGCTACACCCGACAAGAAGACCTTAATACTACTTTTGCCAGTGAAGCCCCTTGGGAACGCTCTTCTGCTTCTAATCAAGGAACATCAAGGCCGAACGAAAGAAAATACGGTGCAATTTGAACGTTACGAACCGGTGAGCCGCAGCTAACTTGTATTAGTACATGAAATGTGAGGGTTTTGAAGTTATACAACCTGTCTGTCTTTTGACGAGACCAAATTTCATAGCATGTAATTTTGGATGTTGTAATCTCAAGTTATCAACTGAAATCAATATAGATCTCTTGCTCATTAATTTGTCATCTGCGACTTGGAAAGCCATTAGCAAAGTTGCTAAGGATATGCCAGCTATGATGGCATATGCTCTTTTCTTTGAGGCCTGTAAGATGTCACTTGCAAATTTACAGATGAGGAATCAGATCCTTAAAGGAGTTGTACTCCAACCCCGCCTATAATAATATCTTTTATCATATTTGGATCTTCCAGATTAACCTAATATTCCCGTTATCATACTTGATTATAATTTAACTTTTCTATATGCCTCCACACGCGTTTAACACACAACGACAATTTATTTACTAATATTGCAGATCCTGAAGTCAAAAAGCTACAAAATAAAGGAATCAATGTCAATTCATGGATAGTAGGGGAAACAAAAAGAACAAGAAAGAAGACAGGAGATGAATATTAGGTGTAAAGAAATGGTATAGGGCAGTCGCCTATCCAAGTGGACAACTCTCAGTTGTTGATGCGTGGGGGGCTCATGAGCTTGCATCATTAAAATCCATACAATGAACATCTAGACGGCCATTAAAATTCAATGTGAACGTTAGGGGAAAGGGGAAAAAGTGCCCAAGTATGAAGGGTTCAACCCTAAATTTGTGGCTTGCTCTAAGATACCTTTACAGACATTGACAGTATCAGAAGCTTTGAGTCATCTAGTTTGGGTGACTATATACTCTGTCAAACATAGTAGTTGAGTCTGCTCCTACTCTCTCTTTATTGTCATCACAAAACAATTAACAAAATGTTGACCTGCTTTTGTCCCACATGGAATCAGTAGTCAATTGCAATGCTGTAATCCAATGACACGTGGGATGGTGAAATGTTTGCTTAACATATTTGACAAGAATTACCCAACAATATTTGGGAATCATTTTGAAAGTTACACAAGGTTTTTTTTATAATTAATTTTATTCATACAAGCAATATTAGGAGAGGGGAGAATCAAACCTAGGATTGCATGTGCAAGGGTAAATGTTCTTAACCACTTGAGCTAATTTTAACTTAAGAAAAGAGTGTTAGAAGAACCCTAATGTAGAACTCTAGCCAAAGTTCAAATTTTCTTATTAATCTTCAATACATGGAAAATTACATTAATGGACCTTCCAAATGCTTGCTAACATGTTATTCTAATTGGAATTTTCTGAGACCAAGATCTAAATGAAGGTGGGATGTTGTTGTAATCAATTAATGTAAAGTGCTTAAATGATGATCTAAAGGCCCACTGTACTGATATTTTTGTTATGTCAAGGATACTTGGATTATAAGCCAAAAAGTTTTGTTCTTCTATAATCAGCTGATTGAGCTTAGATCTTGTAT